ATCTGATTTTGTGCAAAAACAAGCAGTGCGGACGTTTCCTTTTTGCACAAAAACCCCTCTTTGTGCAAGATTGGTATGCCTCAAAAAAAAGGGGGTAGAAGAATCTTGCACAAAAAGGGTTTATGCAAAAAGGCAACGTCCACACAGCTTGTTTTTGTGCAAAAACAGATTGGAAGAGAGTATGCAAATGAAGCGTGAGAAAATGCTAATCCACACTTCATTTGCATAGGCTCTTCTGTCTACACTATGAGTTTTGCCACAGCCATAGAGATTCTCCATGCATTGTAGCTGATGGTGCAAAAGGACCTGCACTGTAGGACTACAGTTATGAAAGAAGTTGACAGGAATGCAATGCAGTGGTAGCCATGATATCCTAGATGGCCTCAAATATTGCATCCTGGTTTTAACAGATGGAAAAACTGAAGTGAAGAGTTTAAGTGAGATGCCTAAAGTGACACAGTATAGTCAAGCCTAAACCCAGAGCTCCTGCCTCCCACTCACAGACTTGAACCAAAAGACCCAAATTCCCTTTTTCATTTGGCAATCTAATTAATTAATTTCGCAAAGAAGAGAACAGTTCTGCCTCACTCACCTAAATTAGCTAAATGTATGATACTAATGATAGGCAAACATTAAAAGGATAATTAGGAGTCTGTGCAGTAGTTGCAATCCTTATGGCCACTGCAGGTATAAAAGCAAAGGAGTAGTCCTTTTTCTAGTACAGCAATTCTAATGGAATAAGATACAAGAGAACTAAACATTGCTTTTAGCACTTGGTATATAATATTCATAACACACATGGAATGAAAAATGGAGATCGGCAAATGGAAGAAAATAAGAGAAATGTTAAGCCTCCAAAAAGCTTGAGTGCTGAGCAACTGTACAGGTAGATTGCCTATGCTTAGCTCATAATCCTACTTGTTTTAGTTGAATGGCTGAGCTATATTAGGAAGACATTAATAACTGAGAGGTGGTGCTTTGCTTAGGAACTTGAGGCAGAGACGTGATACAAAGTGGAAAATTCATCCCAAAGGACCTGATTCCAGAGTTGGCAATTTGAGTTCTTCACAGCATAGAAAAAAATCAAGCTGGGCCAATACTGTAACATATAAATTAATGTACTTTGTGTGGGTTTAAGGCCTTTTATGTTCCATTAAGTTGGTCACAAATTAGTTTGTTGACAGTCAATGATCACATGTTGTAGAATATTATAGATAATGAATGTTGAACATGTAAACATGCGTATTTTTTGTTTACAACAAAATCTGATTGAGTTCTGCTCATCCAATATTACACGATCATTGAAAAAAAGCCTAAAATTTCATGTACTGAAAGCTAACAAACGCCAGTGAGTTACGTGCCAAGTACTGTTCACAGAAGTGATTCAATGAATAACTTCACATAACAATAAGAGCAAGCTGAACCTGTTTGTAACTTGGTTCTCATCTATCGCCGCCTCTCCCCCCCCCCCCCCCCCAAGTTGTTTTTAATTCAGTTACTTAAAATTTCCTATACACAACATGTGTAGTGCCAAGTTCTGCCCACAGGTAAGTGGCCATTGTTCCCACTGAAATCACTCTCCATGAACGTGTGAGGGTTGAATATGACCCGTTACAGGATTTTATGCTGTGTTTCCTGGAATATGGGGAGCTTCTTTTTTGAACATATAGAAGGAAGCTTGGTCACCCGCTCATTGTGTATCAACAGGCTTTTGTTTATGTTTGCAGACTTGCAAGTTGGGTGTGGTGATAGGGCGAGGTGGGGGCATAGTTCTATTATCTCTATCTGAAACTCAGCTAAAAACCACATTAACAAAATTGTCACTTTTTTGGCACATTACAAAAATTGCAGTTTTACTCCTTCACAGAACAGCAGGCAGTCACCAAACAAGTGTCTGGCTTCTGCAAGGCCTTGATGACTGTGTTGGAGAGGGAGGCAACAGTGCTGAACATGGTACTTAAAGGCTGCAGTTGGTAGGGTTGCCAGATGTCCGGTATTGGTCCGGACAGTCCAGTATTTGTGGCTTCAGTCCAGTTAAAAGAAAAAAACGGACATTTTTAAAAGTGTCCAGTATTTTCTGGTTTTTTGGACAGAAGGCCGCTTGGGACATTCTTCCACTGCCACATCTGGTGGGAGGAGCGGGAAGTGTGGGGATTTAAAGGTGCAGTGACTCTTTTTGTGAGGGTGGGTTTTTTTGGGGGGGCTCAACCAATTTTTCCCCTGCCATGTTTGGTATTTTTTGTGAAAGTATCTGGTAACCCTAGCAGTTGGTTCTGTAATTGGCCAAGTCATGTAAGTTTTCTATTTTGGAATGAATGTTCATGCTTCAGTAAGTGCTGGAACAGTGTGTATCGTGGAGGTGCTGTATATAATGGAAACCACTTCAAGCTAGGGGGTGCTCCTACACCCCCTAGTTCCAACACCTATGTATGCTTCTCACTATCCATCCTCCCCCTTTCCCCCCCCCCTTCTAAGAGTGCTGTCCTTCAGCCATTTTAATAAGATGATGAAAGAGTGAGTCACATAATGGAAAAGGTCTAGAGGCCATTAAGAAGATTCTGGTTGTTCTTTGGATGCAAGTCAGGCATGAGTGTCAACTTCATAATTGTGAAAGCATCCAGATCTGATCCTATGAGGTGCCAAGTGTCTTCTGCTTCCACTGACTCGTCCTTTTAAAGAGAGTGCATTAATGGAAAAGAGCGGGGGATAAAATCTAATTACAGCTCAGCATATCTGAAATCTCTGGCACATCTGCAGCCTTATCAGGGTTTTTTGAATAGATTTGTGAACTTTATTCTTCTATCTCTGTCCCTATTACCCTTCAATCGCCTGTATGTAGGAAAAGGAAAGTCTTCTTGGAAACTAAGGACATTACTGCTGTACAGCACATGGCCTTCCAAAAGCGGATGAGTGGAAACTTCCAGGGTTGCTACATAATATAAACCTGGCCTGTGACACAGAAAGATGCTTCTGGCAAAGCTAGCAGGTGGCGGTATGATATTCTAGTTTTCGTCCCATTCCTTTGTCAGCCTCCTGCACCACTGAAAATGCTGGCCTCTATGTCCACCTAACCGGTCTGTAGCAGGGCAACCACCCCAATCCAGGGAGCAAAAAGGGTTAAAACAGCCTGAGAAGAGGTCTGTGGCTGGGAGCCAATCAAGAGAGAGCTTGTGGCAGCCAATCAGAGTCCAGGAAGGCTGTATAAACGAGATGGCTGGCCAGGCTGAAGACACTCTGGCTCCAGCTCTGGAGGGAGAAGGACTTTAGCTGCCTGCTAGCATAGGAATCATGGACAGAGCAATGCTGGGGAAAAGCCAGGGGAGCCCCAGCTTGAGCAGTTCCAGGCTGAAGTCCAGCAACAGAGGCCTGAAGGGTATGAAGGCTACAGGGAGGCAGCTATGGCAGGTGAAGGCAGCAGGTCCCACCCCCTTGCCTCTGATGAGTGACCATTTCGTATGGCAGTTTGCCCCCTGAGCCAGGGGCTAGATGACAACTGGTCACTGAGGCAAGGTGAGTATAAAAGGTTGGGGGGTTCCCTGAGGGGGAGAACCCCAGAGTGTGGGGCATGGTGGTAGAGCAGTGTCCTGAGGCAAGGGCGGTCTGGGAGGAACATGGGTCCTAAGGTAAAGTGGCAGAGCCATTAACACACAAACTGGTAGCAGCAAGTGAGAAACCAGCTGGGAGAGGGTGCTCCAGCAGTGAGCTGAGCTAATTCCCATGTGACCAACAGGAGGTGCTGTGGCAGAGAGTCACACGGTGTTACACAATCGAACAAAATAAAATGCTTTCCTGGAGAGTTATCCAAATAGCCTGCACCATTGGGGACATGAACCAGAGTTTTCAAAAGTGCTTGGCCCTCACAATTGGAGCCATTTCTCCCCTACCTTCCCAACACCAAAACAAGGGGCCATAGTTTCAAGCAAGCTCCCTGGAATGTCTGGCCCCAATTGCGGATGTTGAGAACTTGTAAATCTGGTCCTAGGCTCTTCTGAAAAATCTAGCTATAAATACTTTACAACAGACCCACCCAGAAGCCTTACCTTTTCCTTACGCTCCCGCTCTTATCCTCAGAGAATATCAGATTTTATTTCTAGGAGGGCTAAGGGGAGAACCTAAGATATTGGCCACAAAATGCAAGCCATCAAGATGATATATTGTGACTAATTCTATTGTACAGATGGATCTAATTTAAACAGTCTGATATATGCAGTGTTATGCTTGGCAAAAAACATATGATCCCATTAAAAAGAGGATCTAGACCCTCAGATATCTTTGGGATGGAGAGATTCCCTATTGTTGTGCTTTTTTTATTTTTATTTATTAATGTATGGCTGGGCAACCAACTGCACAGCTCCAGAAATGGAAACGCTCTGCTTAGTCAGAGAACAGGAATAGCATGAGTAATGGTAGTGCAAGCTTCCCTGGATGGTATTAGAAACAGGCCTCAAATCCATTCAGGAGGTACCATCTGCAGGGATCAGAGGCCTAGTTCACACACATCTTCTCTGGTCTCCATTCAGAGTCTAGCAACTGATGTAGAACCTACCTGACAGATGAAACCAGTAGAGGAGCACTGCCGAACCCACAGGCTGAATTTCCGTTTTTTCCTTTTGCGTAGCTCCCGCTCTGTACACGTGGCAATGAAAACTGGGTCCTCATCGATCAGGGGTTCATGTAGCACCTATGATCAAAAGAAGTGCAGTACTTTGTTCAGAAGGAATGTACTGTAAAGTCTCGTGAGGCAACACGCTGTTTGTGATAGCATTTCTTTTATGAGGTGGTGAGTGCAACTTTTGCACAGTTCTCTCCTCTAATAGAAGCATCATGGCCCACCACCACAAGCCAAAATGCTCTCTTGCGCATTGAGGACTATATGAAGAGTGAGGTGCTTATAAATCTGTTCCTCAATCTATCCACCTTAATTCTAATTTTCCTCAAAGTTATTAGATTGCATTCATGCCCTTGTCACAACATTATATGCCTCTCCAGGTGATTTATAATGTAAAACTATCCCATGAAAACTGCAAACACGTGCTTATTCATAAGATGTTCCTTTATTTTGCAGAGTGGTTTTGGTGCCAATTACATCCTACAGTGTTGCAGGTTTACATGACATTGTTGTTGAGGGGAGAAAAAACAAAACAAAACAGTGAAAGAAATTTAAGAGGTACTCAAGGGAGATAAAAGATGCTTTTGAGGCCAATTGAGAAGGGAAGGGATGAAGGAATTCTGATCCCAATGCGAGGTAAGGTAGAGAAGAAGGCACTTGCAACAGTTACAATGCAATTCTGTTACAGGAGGCTGGAGCTAGATGTGTTGAGAGATCAGGAATGTAAAGAGGTCAGTCCTATGATGCAGACTAGAGCAAATCCATGGAGTGTTTAAAAATGGGGCAATTTTATACTCGCAATATAGTAGTGCATGGGGAGCCAGAAGAACTGATGGAGAAGATAGATGATGTAGTTTGTGCTTTATTAAGTGGGTTTATAACAGCAACAGCATTCTGCACATGGTAGGAGGTGGGGAGGCTGTAGAAAGGAAGGCACAATAGCCATGAGGAGTGGAAACAAGGACATGAAGGTGGGACACTATAAATCTATAAAGATTTGCACTGGTTGCAAATTACTTCTATTAAATACATTTCCATACCGGAACCAGAAACTAGATGGGTCAGTTCTCTGAAGCCATCACCACTAGTCACTGTCCGATAGAGAAAGAGGGAACAGGATATGGGGGCCTAGGCAAGATTTAACAGTTCACTGGCAACCTTAATTCCAGCACTTCCTACCTCGAGTGCTTGACTCTGCCATCTTAATATTCTTTAATATATTTTGTGGGTGAAATTCTTTACAAAAGGAGTTCTTTGGGCTTTCAAAGTCACTTACAGAAGAATGTTCCTATCACTCATCACTGTGTGGGCAAACCCTGTGCCCCAGGTTTTTTCAATATAGTTATATGCAGCTGTTTGGTATGAGGACCAACACAAAGAGCAATGTGTAAGCGGTAACCATAGTAATCCAATAATAGGAAATCCTTCTTAAGAACCCCCCTGGAACACATCCTGGTCTTTAGTAACTGTGGAAGATCAGAAACTCTAACCATTCCACATCTCCTTTTTCCTGATAATAACATATGAATGGAACAAATTATAACCTATGTGGGTCATTATAGTGTGCGCGCGTGTGTGCACACACACACACACTTCAAAATAAACTTCAATTTAACGTGTGGATTCATCTAGCGGAATCGAATGATTTAAAAAAAGTACAAACAGTACAAACAAAAACCATAAATATAAATATTTTAAATAGTCCATAGGTTTAAATATATTAAAACTAGGGATAATTAACAAGGAACAATGCTTATGATTTAATATGAAATTAAATAAAAAGAAAATTAACACTACCCTTGGCTGAAGAAGTGGGTTGTGCCCACAAAAGCTCATGATGCTATTTATATATTTGTTAGACTAAGATGCAACAGGACCACTGTTTATTTAGTTACAGACTAACACGGCTACCCCTGAGACCCTGGAGTACATGTATCATCATCCTTTCTAACAGATGAAAGGATGTTTCAAAGATCTTGAAAATAAGGTTTCATTGTACAAAACAGCATCACACTTAGTATTTTCTACTTCTGACTCATAAGACCCAGAACGCCATTAGATAGCAAAGATCTGGCCTTACTAATACATGATATATTGTATTGTATTAAGACAGGAGTTTAAAAAAAACCCATTAAGATCAGAGTTTTAGATATCTACAACACTCAAAAAATTCTGTTAAAAGATTCTTTTAACTTTCCTACTTTAAGCCATTACCGCCTAGGGTAAACTTTGCTTTAAATGTAATCATGCAAATGTCCTGCCTCCCCCCCCCTTACCCCCCATGAAGCCTGCTTCTCCTCAGGTCTTTTCCAAGGGAACTCTTATGGTACTAAAAGTAGTCCGTCCATCTCCCTTAACTGCCTGAGAGAACATCTACAGAACACATTTCCCAAGGAAACACATAGATTCACAATCATCTTACTCTGTGTCTTGCATTTCACCTCTCACAATGTCTCCTTACAACATGGGGTTCTTTCCCTTCCCCAAAAAATCCTTACCAATGTCTTTATTCAACCAGAAAACCATCCCCTCCCCCGACCCATTTGCAACCTCTGCACATGTAAAGTTTGGCTGTCCTGTTTCATGAAAAGCTTCCCTCCCTGGCTACAGGAAACAGAATTAAAGAGGGGCTGGGAGTGATCAGAGAGATGGCTGAAACTGGGGGAGGGATGGTTCCCATTTTCAGTGACAACACAGAAAAGTTTGGTCTTGCTCTCATTGGAGGAGAGCCTGACCTGATTGCAAATGGGGTGAAAGTAGGAAAGCACTGGGGAGGGGAAGAGAGAGGTGTGGTCTTGTTACTATGGAGCGGGGGGGAAGGATACAAATTGGAGAGAACAGGGGCAAAATCAGAGAAGTAAACAGAACTGTCTGATCAGCAGGAGAGTGTAACACAGGAGAAAACAGGGAATCCTTGCTGGGCCAATTCCCCAAGGGGAGGCTAGGGGAGAGGCTGCTGCCCTGTTAGTAGTTGACAGGGAAGGGGAGGAGTTGGGAGCAAAGTAGAGAAGTTGACCTGATCTGACAGCACCAGTAATTTACCCAGCTTTTCCCATGTGGCCAGTGGCAGGCAATTAAGCACCCATCCTGCCTCCCTAATTGGAGAACTTGCTCACCCCAGCAAGTACAGACCCCCGGGGGGGAGGGGGGAAGACCGGAGTAGAGGCTGGAGCCAGAACAGCAGGCAGCTGCTGCTCCTCCAGTCAGAGTGTAAGTGCCAGGCCCACCCATTCCCCAGCAGAACTGAGCTCCCTGCCTGCATAGGGAGCTCTGAACCTCTGCGCATGGCTCAGAAAAGAGCTGTGTGCCCACACAAGTATAGAACTTACAGGGAACCTTGACCTTACTGCAATTCCACGCTGAATTAAATATGGTGTATGGGTGAAGGTGTGGCACATCCCTGGTTAAAGCCACCTCACAGGTAGCTACTTGTCTCTCAAATACTGAAGTTGTTAAGACATCATTCCTTCAATTCTGAATAGGCATACACGCTCTCAGCTCCCAGGCTGCTGCATGCCTTCATTTAGACACACTCCAGCTTTTAAGGGCTCATAAAACATTCACAGCTCCATCTGAAAGCACTCTTGCAAAATATACAGATTACCTACAAAAATATAGATGCAGACATGAGGAGGCATGCAAATTCCCCTTGCTGTTTATGTGAGCTGGCAACTGCAGATTCCCAGTGCCCATTATCCCAAAACAACTCAACTGTCTCTCTTTAGGATCAAGTCAAATAAGTATATACCTAACACTTTTCACTTGGGGATCTCAATGCACGTTGCAAATATTAGTTGAGTCTCAACTCGATACAAATAGCTATACATATATTCAAAAATGGGGACACTGAAGTACAGAGAAGTTGTGGTTTGCCTAAGATTGTCCCACTTAAACACCTGGCTCAAGACTATATTCAGTCATAAGCCTTCCAAAAAAGTAACCCCACACAAAGAGGAGTTGATCAGTTATTTATTACTCCTTTTCTAGGCAGGGGGGGGGGGGGGGGGGTGTGTGTGTGTGTGTGTGTGGGTGTGTGTGTGTGTGTGTGTGTGTGTCCATTCGTACACATTTCCTTCCTCTACAGGATGGAAACCGCACTGTGTAATATTTAGTCAGATCCTAATAGCTGACACAGATACCCTTTTAGACAAAGTGGCCAGACAAGCAAATGCACGGATGGGAGCAGAAGCTTCAGAGAGTTGACTGTCATCATCAGGAAGTTCTGAATGACCATGTCATGTGACCTAACAAATGCTGCAGAACTAGGTACCCGTGGATTTGTTTTAATAGATTCTCTTAGTACACCACTGAGAACATCCTTCTGCCTACAAGGTTCCACCATGACACAATGTTCACTAAAGTAAATTGTATCCAAAGTGACAACAGATGAAGCCTGATCCCCAAGACCTTCCTCCCGCTGATTTTTCCAGGTAAAGACAGTGATTTTTTTAATGTGTTTGTAGGGGAAGGATGAGACACTGAGCATTCTCCTGTCCTCTGACCTAGACAATGTGAGCCAGATCCTCTGCTGCTTTAAATCTATGTAATTGAAATAAATGGAGCTACAACAGGATCTGGGCCTCTGTTAACTGGTTCTGGTCTTTCAATAACTTCCTAACCCAGAGCAGGAAGGGGTATTATTTCCTCTGTGTGCGTTTCTATGCTAAACTGAGGGATTGTTCATCCGTTATGGCAAATGGTCCTGTTGATGCCTTAGTCGAGGTATGGAACATCGAGGTAGCCTGGGCAGTTGACAGGATTGCTCCTAAGTGCCTTCTTTGGTGCTTTTACCAAAGCCACGTTTGCTCCCTGGTTTTCTGGGGAGTGGATGGCAGCAAAACGGTCTGGGACACCACTGGAGGAGAACTAGAGCTGAGTCCGATTGCAAGTTAGAGCTGAATTGCGAGCTTATGCTGTGGCAGTGCTGACAGCAAAGGAAAGCTACTTTTCCACCCATATCGCGTCCACACATTGCCATCCAGTGGAACTGTTTCAAGTGGTGCAGAGCTTGTTACAGTCTGGCAATCGTGATGTAATGGAGGAGCTCTTGGCTCCCCACTGTGATCTGTTTGCAAAGCACTTTCCAGATAAGATCGCTCGCATTCGGTCTGATTTGGACTCTGGCTGCTAGGTAAGTGGGGTACAGAATGTGTTGAGTTGTTTCTTTGGAACAGTTTCAGCTACTGCGGATTGAGGATGTGGACAAGGTGCTTGGAGGAGTGTGATTGACCATGTGCTCACTCGACCCCTGCCCTTCATAGCTTATTCAATCTAGCCAGGAAAGAATGGCTGGCTGGGTCCAGGGGATTATTAATACATCTTTTAGATCTGGTATGGTTCCTGCCACTTTGGAAGAGGCAGTGATAAGACTGCTACTTAAGAAGCCTTCCCTTGACCCACATGATCTGAATAACTATCACCCAGTTGCTAATATTCCCTTCTTGGGCAAGGTACTCAAGCGGGTGGTGGCATTGCAACTCCAAGCTTTCTTGGAAGAAACAGATTATTTAGCTCCATTTCAGTCTGGCTTTAGGTTGGGTTTTGGAACTGAACCTGCCTTCTTATCTGGATTCAACTTCAGCTTGTTTGACTTCATCCAGTCCATCTCTGCCTCCGGACACTGGTTTAGATCAGTCACCGCCACACCTAGTTCTGATGTTACAGGGAAATAGAGCTGGGTGGCAGGGGGAGCGTGTCCCTGTTGATTCCCTTGGATCTCCGAGTCACACTCTAAACTACAGAAAAAAAAATAGTACCCCACCCCAACAATGATGATAATATGCAAATAAGATGTCACAGTACGTTCTAAGGCATCTGTCATTCTGGATTTGCCCTGCAGTGCACCTATTGTCTACCCTTATCATATTACCTTGCTCTGTTTAGCTTGTTCTTCACCTTTGAATATTAGTGTAGCTTCTCCATCCCCTTGTACAAAAGAGTTCACAAGCCCATTCCTTCCCCTCCCCCAACATGTTGTCTCCAGTAGCATATGCACCTCACAAGACAGCATGCAAAATTTTAGCATCTATTTAAAAAGTGTGAGACCTGGACTTTGGAATAGAAGGCAGGAGTTTGTGTCTCTGAAAATTGGTAAGCTGCCCCAGTAATATAAGTAATATGATGCCCCAGGTAGGTTATCAGCAGGCATTGAAGGCAGGATGTCTAAGCATGAGCTTTTACTGCCTGAGCTGAAGAATACAGGAGTCATAATTCTAAGGCTTTACCAGACTCAAACCTCTATGTGGACTAGCCTCTGAAGGTGTCAAGCACCACAACATTGGCATAGATTACACAAACTGTCTAATCAAAAGGTAACAGACAGGAATTGAAAGGTCAGAACACACATCCGTTTGGGAGGCTGCGGGAAGAGAAGGACTAGAATTAGGCTCCTGCCGAAACCCAATTTGGGGAATGCAAGGTTTGGTGGTACTCGAAATCCACATACGGATAAAAAAAGTTGCAGTTGGGCACCAAAACTATTTAAGAAAAAAAAGAGCCATCCAATGAAAACTGGTGGGCACACAAGTACCTAGGCTGCCTCAAACCACTCCAAAGCAAGTTACAATAGAAACCCCAAGGTTTTCCAAAAATCCACTGGTTCAGGAAAAAAAAGGGAGAAGAGGGTTTCACAACACAAATACCATAGCTCAAACAGGACACATCTAACTTCCCATCAGAAGGAGCACTTTCTTGCCATATCCCCTTGTAGCTGTTCAACAGGATTAGTATTTATGTTTTCACTTGGTCCTTACGTTCTGGATCTGATACTTAATCTTACTAGACTATCTACACTCTGGACAATACCAGTTTAGAGATTTTACCTCTTACTTCAAGCTGGTAGAGTCCCGGACCTTAGGATATTGGGTAAACCATTCCTATTGACTTCAGAGACCTGGAGAACTCAGTCCCTAGTCAGATCAGATCTGGAATGTACTCCAATAAGATTCTTATTCCTGTGATTGTCTTACCATTTTTAGGAACAGACTTAAAACCTCTCTCTCGTCTCTAGTTATTTTTGCTGCACTGTTGTGCTGTTTTATGTTCAGTCTGATACATCTGAAGGTTGTGTTATAAAAATCTGAAGGTTGTGTTATAAAAATCAAATGCACTGACAGGTGATTCTACTGACTAATTTTCAAACCTTGTCTGAGTATGGGTGGGGTATATGTGGGTGTCACATTACTTTACTAATGAGATTTGTTCTTTTCAAATGTCTTAAGAATGGTTATACTGCATCACACCAAAGGTCAATCTAGCCCAATGTCCTGTCTTCTGACAGTGGTTAATGCTTCAGAAGGAATGAACAGAACAGGTAAATCATCAAGTGATCCACCTCTTCTGTCGATCATTCCCAGCTTCTGAAAAACACCTTTCCTGCTCATCAGGGTTAATAGTAATTGATGGACCTATCCTCTATGAATTTATCTAGTTCTTCTTTGGACCCTGTTAAAGTCCCAGTCTTCACAACATCCTCTGGCAAGGAGTTCCACAGATTAACTGAATAGTGGTGAAATACTTCCTTTTGTTTATTTTAAGCCTGCTACCTATTAATTTCATTGGGTAGCCCCCTAGTTCTCGTGTTATGGGAGGAAGTAATTAACACTTACTTACTTTCCCAACACTATGCCCCTCTGCTGAGTACATTGGACAAATTGGACTGTATGTAAAATAAGCAATATACACAATTCAGACATTAAGAATGGCAACATCCAAAAAGCCAACGGGGGAGCACTTTAACTTCCCTGAGCACACAGTTTCAGACTTGCAAGTTGCCATTCTCAGACAGAAAAAACAGAATGCAGAGAGAAACCACAAAACTGGAATTCATATGCAAATTTGACACCCTGAACCAAGGTCTAAACACACACATGGAGTGGTTTCTCGCATTACAATAGGTAAATTGCCCATTCAGGGACTCACTTTGTTATCACTGTTGGAGATGAGCCACATCCACTCTAATTTAATTAGAAAGATGCCATGGTCCCATCTATGTATCCTATTTTTCTGCCTTTCTTTTTCTCTTCAGCATCTGAGGAAGTGAGTTGTAGCTCACAAAAGCTTAAGCCTTAACACCCTAATAAATGTGTTAGTCTTTAAAATGCCACCAGACTCCTTGTTATAGTTTGATCAAAAAGGCAAAGGACATGGCTCAAAAGATAGGGCCAAACCCTGAAAGGCTGAACACTTGCAACTTCTGCTGTTGTGAGAATTGCAGCCTCTCAGACTTTTGCTCAAGAGAGCAGAGCTAGAAGGACAAGAAGGTGCCACTTATGCTCAGTAATAATCTCACTGCAGTGTCTCCATACTTATGTCTAAATCTTTCTACAGGCAACTCCTCTGCCATTTCAGTATTAATGGTCACTGGTAAATAATCTAGAGCAAGCTAAAATAACTGCCAATAAGTTAACTCTTACCTGGGTTTGTGAAGGTCTGAAAGCAGCATCAAAGCTATACTGCAGAGAGTCCAGAAAGGGCTGGATTTTGTAGAGGCCATGTGTCGTTTGGCTGGAACGGAAGGCCACAATGTGGAAGTATTTCAGGATTTTCTCAAACCGTGGCTGCGTCATGATCAGTGCTATGCTCTTGTTGCTGTAGAAGCCACTGCTCCAAATGCTGAGGACGGACTCGCAGTGGTGAATGCTTGTTGAGATCACGTAACCTAGGAAGGCTTTCATTTCTGTTAGCGTGACGTCCATCCAAGCATCATCTCTGCCAAATCTCTCCTGGTATTTCTTGGCATACATGTTGGTTTGTACCACCATGTTCTTTAGTACATTGTCAGGGACAAAGAGCTGAAAGAAGTCCATGGCACTGGCAGTTGGGGGCATTTTACGGGTTGGACCTAGAACAAAAGTGGGGAGGGGAAAGAAGCTCATTTCTGGTGAACTATTCATCCTGGTAGTCAGTCATATTGATAACGAACAACTATTAGATCATCCACTCCTTTGCTCTCAGTCTGTGCAGGAGAATTAACTACAGCACATTGGTCTAGTCTTTACACAAAGTTCCAAGTAATGGGATTTGGGCCACTTCCCTTGTTAGTAACCAATCAGTAAGTATCCCACTGAGTAACCAGTTTGAGAGAGGAAATTTTTCCTAAAATTCAGCCTTAGTTTCCATATTATTTCTGGTTCCATCCCCTGTATAACACTAAACATTTCCTCCCCTTCAGTATTTATGCCTTTCAGCTATTTATAGACTATCACATTCTCTCATAGGCTTAATCTACATTTAAAATGTAGGTCAACATAGCTACAGCACTCAGGGATGTGAAAAATCCACACCCCTGAGCAATGCTGATCAGAGCAACTGAAGTTTTGTTGACCTAGTTACCATTGCTCGAGAAGGTGGTGCCCTTACAGTGGAAAACCCCTTCCATCACTGAAAGCTGTGTCTACACTACAGGGTTATGCTGGTATAGCTGTAGTTATGTCACTGTAGTCCCCATGGTGTAAACACGGCCTTAGTCTCTAAGCCAAGCTACACATGTCTAGCATTTTTAATCTTTCCCCACATATCAGTGTTTCCAGCAATCAGTTTACCTAATTGTTGTCATTGCTCCTCTCTGAATTCTCTCCAGTTCGTCTGTCTTCTAAAGAAAATTGTTCCACAAATGCAATGTACTAGGCACACCACAGCCACACGGAGACAGATTCTTGTCTCTGTGCCAGGTGATGTAATTCTCTTGTAGTCAAAACTTGATTTTTTAAAAAAAAAATCTTTACTACATTTCTAGCTCCTGTCTAATTTGCTGTCCACTACCATCCCTTTGTCATTTTCCAGTGTTATTCTTGGATGCCACTACCAGCATCTTGCTGATTACTACTCATTGGTGCAACATTATATACATCACCACAGGATCTAGGCCACAGGATCTGTCAGTCTGATTCTGTACCCTCTGAAGTTATGGAATGTTGCCATTGACTTTAACCAGAGCAAGATAATGCTTTTGTACAATACTAAAGAAAGCAGCATAGGGACACGCTTTTCTATCTTGCATTATATAGGATTCTTGCTGAATTGTTCCTATTCAGCATATCATCCACGCAAAGGATAAGCCTTCCACTCCTTCCCTCTAGTTACTTTGGTTTTTGACTGAAAAGCAGAGAAAATGGAAGGTTCAAGTCTTTTTTTTCCCCGTTAGATAAAATAAAATGATGTACACTGAAAGCATGACAATTAATGTTATGAGCTTTAGGTTCTTAACTCAGTACAGTGTCTCCTAGACTAAGTATGTGTACAGGCTCCAGTTCCTCTAATAACGTTTGAGCAGACATTAGCATTTGAAGTTCTGGTTAACAACAGGAAAGGGTTTTCCTTGCCAGCACTGACTGCTTAGGTCCTGCTTCAGCATGAATGTCAAAGACTCAAAGGAGAGAAGTGTGAAATCCTGTGATTTTTAGATCATAAAGATATATTAAAACCCCCTTTAGTTTGGGACTGCACGGTTTGTACTCCCTAGATTTCTCCTTGAGGGCTTCCTCCTAACTTGGCAATAGCTAAGGGTATGTCTGCTCTTGTACCCTAGTTTGAACTAGGGATGTAAATGCAGGCATTCGAAATAGTCAGTGAAGCAGGGATTTAAATATCCCGCACTTCATTAGTGTGATCTTGCCGGCACGTTACTCCGATCAATAGCTGTTTCGAAAATAAAAGTGCACGCTGGGATGCATTAGTTCGAACCAAACCCCTTGGTTTGAACTAATGTTAACATTTAAATTCCCACTTCATTGACTATTTTGAATGCCTACATTTGCATCCCTAGTTTGAACTAGGGTGCAAGTGTAGATATACCCTTTGGCTGTGTCTACACTGGCATGAATTTCTGGAATTGCTTAAAACGGAATACTATTCCGTTTTCAGTTTTTCCGGAAAAGGAGCGTCTACATTGGCAGGCTGCTTTTCCGGAAAAACCCTTTTTCTGGAAAAGCGTCTGTGGCCAATGTAGACGCACTTTTCCGGAAAAGAGCCCCGATCGCCATTTTCGTGATCAGGGCTTTTTTCCGGAAAAGACTACTGGGCTGCCTACACTGGCCCTTTTCCGGAACAGTGTTCCAGAATAAGGACTTATGCCCGAGAGGGAGCAGAATAGTTTTTCCGGAATAGTGGCTGATTTTGTACAGTAGAGCATCGTTGCTTTTCCAGAAATTCAAGGGCCAGTGTAGACAGCTCGCAGCTTATTCCGGAAAAGCGGCTGATTTTCCAGAATAAGTGGCCCAGTGTAGACACAGCCTAAGAGATTAAGGGCTGACTTAATATCAAACTGTGTTTGCTTTAGATACTTTTTTCAGCTTCAGTTTTCTGTTAAGCTCAAGCTATTTAATAATGGTCTCTAGAAAACAAGAACCACCTTTAAGTTATTCTAACTCCATCAAAAATGATACTAAAAATGCTAAGGTTGCAAAATTAAGCAATCAATAGTCAAGAAATGTAAGTTCTGTACACCTGTCTGCCCAAGCTGGACTGAAATAATTTCTATAAGGCAAAGTGGACTACAAAGGATCACAAAGCACAAGTCACAGTGCAACAGCACACCCTTGTCTTCACACCCTACATAGCATTGTAATAATCTTTCTGCAAAATATGCCTTGACAGGTATTAGAAAACCAACAACTCGCTGGTCAATAACATTACATATGATAAGAATGCAAGCTGAAATGACTCAGATGTGTTTCAGACAAGTCTGGGGAGGGAGTAAACCTGTTTCTTACAGACAAAGGACAAGGTGATGTTTTATCCAGGTGTCAAAGCTGATTGCCAATCACTAGTCAAGTGGTCATTCTTTGGCAGCCAATGGAGGACAGGTGCAGATTGCCAATCACTAGTCAAGTGGTCAATCTTTGGCAGCTAATGGAGGACAGGTGCAGATTAATCTGCATTTTAGAAACCAACATGGAATCTCTCTTACCACAAGGTTCCCTGTTACTACCCTCATGGCTAGCAGGACTTTTATCTAGAGAGAACTCAGGAAGATGCATTTCCAAGGGTGACAAAACTACAGAAGTAAGGGCCAAAACAACCCCCAGATTCTCTCTTTTGCTCACTTTTTCATGTAAGATGACAAAGAAACCAGCCCTTCAAACTTTAGGGACAGAGCCCCAAATGAGAACTTGGTCAGCTTTGTTGCTGGGAACTCGTGCTAAGGGATTTCACCTCAAAGTAAGTAATTTAAGTTTATTTACTAAAAAGCATTTTCTGAATTCAATACCTTGCATTTGTACTCCCTTAAATTTCCAATCAAAGTAATCCAGTGTTGTGTTTACACTGTATTGTTTGGTAACTAACTCCAATTAAAGTAGCAAACGGTTGCATATTGACCCCTTACAGCAGCAATTAATCTATAACATCTGAACTATCCAGGAAAGGGCCGGACAGTGAAGAACACATGGTCAGGGGAGGTTGTAAACTGGGACTGGGAGTGTGTTGGGGTCACCTTGCAAGTAGTAACAAAGGCTGCAGGAAGTCAGTGTATCTGGTGTTTATTGACAGGCTGTTGGGGTCAGAGTTGCTGATTTAGGGCTGTGGTTATACACAAACTCAGGGTGTGACCTAGTGGATTAACTGTGAACACTACAAGTTGGAGGCTGCAGCAGCAAAACTTGGAGAGGTACCCTAAGTTGCAGGGCAGCTCATAACACCTCACTACTTTGAATTACACCCTCAAATGTGATACTTAGGAATTATCCACAGGCTGATGTTCAGAACAGCTGTGAAGGAAGGGTAGCACAAAGCAGCTAGAAACAGAAAAAGGATCAATATTTGTTATGGAAACACTTACATTTTCTTTTGGATATCACTTAATTAAGCTCCTCTGTTGCCCACTAGGTATGGCTCTTTGATAATAGGGACATTGTGAGCAACCATATATACTGGTTATATAAAAAGCCTTGCTTAATTATACTCCTGGGAGAAGCTGCAATTATACCTTTTGCCCACCAAGGGCACCAGAAGATAGGACAGTGGACTCACAGACCCAAGCAGCCAATCTCAGAAAGGGAGAGAAGAGCCTTTCTTCACTGTGCCTCACCAGTGGGGCCAGATGAGAAGTCATGATATATAGCGGGGGGAGGGGACGTAATGGGGCAGTGGGGCACAGAAGCTAGTGGGGTGACAGCATTCAGTTCCTGACTCAATGGGAGTGCAGGGCCACATGGGGACAGAGGCAGTTATGCCTGGATAAATGGGGAGGAGGGGGTGCAGGGACACAGGACTGGGGCAACTATGCCTGCCTGAGATGTGCAGATATAGGAGAGGCTAGGGGTCAGCATGGGGGAAGCTCCCCAACAATCTTCCTCCCAAAAAAACCACCGCTCCATATTTCTCCCTCCCATACCCAACCATTTTCCAGGTTCACCCCTAAGCTCCTCCGCTGCCTCCCAAGCCTTTGCTTTGTTTCTGAGGGGTGTAGAGAATGCATTGTATACTGTAGTGTAAATAAATTATTCAGTTTTGGCATGTACTATTACAGGCATACTTATGAATAATTATCAAAATAACTGAAACTGGCATGATTCTGCATATTTTATGTGTCAAAATAACACAGCATAATCAAAATAGTGTGCAGAATTTTTAGGCATGGAATTCCCCCAGGAATACTAGTTATAAGCATCCTATAGGGGGTGATGAGGAAGGCAACTCTAATCACTGCTCTTACTAGAAGCAGGCTGGGAGCAGGGCAACAGATATGTTCATATGATAGAGGACTTTATGAAGGTGAAATACTCTGTTTGAGACATGGGGATATTGAGAGTATGTATATATTGGGCTCCATTTGCAGGAGGTTGGTTATGCAGTCTGGAGTACAAAATAGACAGTTGTGTGTAATTACATTTTCAAAAGCTG